TCAATATCGTTGGGCGACTCTTTCTTATATTCATTCCCCTTTTAAAACACTATTGTTCATAACATACTACGGTTTTAACTCAGGGAAGCGTGTTGTTTGATTACTTTTGTTAAATATAATAATCAAAGTACCATGACACACTCAACACACCCCAACTACGACTCTCATACAACAATGTAATAACTACCATTAAATAGTCCTATAAACATTTTCAGCTCAGTGGAGATAAAACGGCATGCACATGCAAGTGGAACATGGAGAAACATCGATATGCAGATTTGAAACTGTGCTAACCCGAGCAACAACAAAAAAAGAAGTTGTGACATTTTAATTCTCCCAGCAATGTTCATTGTACATATCCTCAAGTTTGGAAGTTATTTTCCAATCATTTCGACTGATGCAAGCTGAACAAGCAACATTATTGACATACCAGCAAGGTTCTTTGTTTAACGTACATGCACAATATCAAACAAATTTACTCCAACATATATCTTTTCATTTGTGATGCCAATTGATAGAATTATCATAACCCTCTGGATTAGCTCTGTTCAATATTTTACAAATGTGGGATGCAAATGAATTTATACCTCCTCGGGTCACTTCCAAATAAAAAACCCAAATGGGTTTCCTCAATGAGAGGCTCACAGGAGCTATTAAAACACTCCCTGTGGAAAACACATGGTATGTCTTCTGACCTGGACCTTGGGCTGCAGCCTATTTATGCCACTTAGAAAGTTGCCATGGTAATTAGGTCACACTTTGTTGAAACTGATTTTGATCCTGATTCATTGAGAAGGCTTTGGGTCTTCTTGTCCATCAGCTAATTAATGAATCATGACTCAGAAAACTAGCCTGTGTGGTAAGGGCCAGATGACTCCAGTATATTTTAAAGCTCAGGCACGGACTCAATTTTTGTGCTGCCTTGCCACCTCCATTATTAAAGGTCTGTATCACTATGGAGGAATCCTGCGTGATTAGCGTCCGGCTCAGTGTTTTAGCTGTAAATTTGTTGTTGGCTTTGCGTTTCTGCTCAGGGACAATGTTGACTATGGTCGGTGCTTTCTGTTCCCAAATATTGGTATCTCACCTAAAGCAAGTCCCGGCTGCCTTGGGGCTTTGTAGCCCTCTGCTGCCATTCATGACTGTGCACAAATGCAGCAGATATTAAGGTTGCTGGGTATTCTAACTGATTAGAAATGCCCTTCATTGAGCACGCCCCAAGGAAGGAAGAGAGAGATTTTTTTTAGATGCTTATAATAAAACACTATTGAAAACAAATTATGTCATAGCACAAAAAAAGGGTGAATGTATCTGTGTTCAACAGACTTGCATCTATGACATCATCGTGTCATGCAGCATATTACAATATGGATGAGACTGCTGGAAAATGTGTAAAAGCTCAGAACGGAAACAGTTTAGACAGAGATATATACAGGGTAAGGGAGAGACTCATAGTCTGATGCCTTTTTATTTCACTGCCACAGACACATTGGGGAGGGAAAGAGAATGGAGGGTAGGGTTGAGGGCTTAAGAGATTTGTGAAGAACAAAAGAGAATGATAAAGAATAGCACATAATGACACTATGGAGTTGAAAAGAAAGTTAAGCTTGTCAATTATTAAAGTGGAAATTATATAGAATGTAATGACAGTAAAAGTCATAAAAAATGATTTAATTAATACAGGTTAAATAGCCAGCTTCCTCTCTAGCTAATATTTAATGAAAGCTTGTTCTGCCAACAGGCTCTGTGATTAGTCCGTTGATTGGCAGAGCCTCAAATTCTTTGAGGTCTAACAGATTGTCCTCATCGTTCTCATTATTTCCATCCTTGATTTGGTCCATCACTTTGCAAAGGTGGCATCTGACCTGTACTCAGTGATTGGAATTTTAAAGGGTTCATGCTGAATTGACTCTACACAGCAAAACCAACTTTGGTCTAAAAAAAGAAAATGCAACAAAATGAAGGAATAAATGTGAATTAAGTGCTGTGCAATCATTTTAATGAAAGAGTAATAATGATTGATAAGCCTAACCATAAACTTAAAATTTAGTATTTCTTTATTAAAAATTGGGGACTAAATCCATCTCTATACAGGCATTGCTCGTGTAATGTGCCACAGCATTTGGCTAATCTGATTTGTATTGATACAATTACAGTAAGAGGATCATATCAAAATGTCCAGGGAATCTGTTCAGTTCCTTGTTCTGCTCATATCAGACAACCAGCCTGCTGACAGCTGATTATTGTTATTTCAGAATTAAGGCACGCATTTATTTCATTATTACAATCAGACAGATTATTTTCATGTCATTAAAAATGTTGTGATACAAAACAAAATACAAAACATCTGACATTTAAAAAGAAACCTTAAAAAATTTAAATTAATGGACATTTCTTTGGATAAGTATTCATTTTAAGTTCATTTTAAGTTTTGACCTGAGATTTGTTCAGATTTTATTTAAAGGTTGAAGTTATGAACGGTGAAATTCTGATGATAGAAAATGTTCACCTTAATGGGTAGCATTTTGCTTTTTGCATGTGATTCAGCAGACAACTGTTCCAGCTGCAGGAAATCTTTAGGGATAAACAATGTTGACAGCATGTTGAGTTATCCATAGTATCTCTCAAACAGTTCAGCTCTTTTGAACAATTCATGAGGGGATTTGAAAAAGTCCAAATCTAAGTGATGTATTCCCTCTGATGAAAAAGACCTTGCGGACATGTAAATTCTTGGTTCAACAATGTCTTTTTCTGTTTTTAAATCTTTGCTGCCACCCAGTGAATGTGAACATTACTGCATGCATTTGTTTTATATAGCAAAATCTATGTTTTCATATGTTGCAAAATATAGCGTGTTTTCCCTATATACAGAATCCAAATTACACCTCTACAAATCTAAACAACTCTTCAGTATATCATAGGACAATATAAAGATTGCCAAAGCATCCACATATGAACAGGCCATCGACATCAAGTGACATATCGTTATAATAATGGTTATTTAATCAGTAATAACACAAATTGACTTGTAAAAACAGAATTTTGAGCCAGGAATTAGATATTGATGTGACAAATGTTGGAAAGCAGCAGTTTGTGTCATTAGGTGTTTACTTGTGTATGTTGCCTTTATTAGATGTGACAAAGCGTGACTCTGGACAGAGGTTTCACAGTCACCCTCGCCTCTTATTGAAAGCATTACCATGATGTGACATCTACCTGTCACCAGGTTTGATCTCATGCAATAACAACAGGGGGGGGGGCTGCCATCACTTACGTTAAAAAGCTTTTGCAGTTCCAGTGGTAACCACATGGAGGTAGTCTTGGTACAAAAGTTTCATCCAACATTGCTGCGGAAACCTGCAGGTGAGCTGAAGCCAACACTTTTGGATGGAATACAGAAAGCTGTCTCTTCTCATTCCACCTCACAGTACACCCCACACACAGGAGTCCATACCACCCGTCCCATGTGAATGGCTATGGATGGGAGCCCACCCATGGCTCAGAAAATGAATAACTCAGCAGACCGGGGAGAATAGCAAGAAAGGTAGATGAACTGGCCATTTTGTCTGAGCAGGCCATTCTATCATCATTATGCATGGCTGTTTAAGGCATAAAATGACACTGCCAGCGGCCAAATATCTTGCCAGAAATAGTTGCAAGGAGAGGCTTCAGCCTCCAAAGAGAAATTTGACACATCCTGCAATTTTCATACCCTTCTTCTGGCCTATTGCGATAGAGGTGATTGCAAAATTCGGGGATCCAGAATTGAGAGAAATTCCCCCACCCTGCCAGACGTCTGCACATATCAGATATTTGCTATAAAATGAGCCAAAATCACTTCTGAGACCTTCTCCCTGAGGTAGAATGACTTCAATATTGGCAGAGATGCATTTTCTCTGATATCTGTCGCTGACTGTGATTGTTTTGAAAGTTCAGGCAGGCCAGCTGTTCTACGGCAAAAGAACAGTAGTTCAATTATATGGTTTGAAAATTACATTCAACACAGAAAAATACTTTAAACCACCATTTCATAGTTTATTTAAAGTATTCCTCATCATATTGCTCAACTTTGGATATAGTGAGTCTCAACCAAAAATTTCACACTTATTACAGGTGTAAAGTGGGTACAGAAAATGGATCAATGAAATATACTCATGGCTCACACAAAGTACGGGCTGATATGCCGTGAAACAGAGCGAAAGATGTGCTGCCAGAGGCAGCAGAGGGTGGGACACCTGCACCAACTTTATTACCTTGCCGAACCAGATGGCCACACACACTTAGCCCTTGACCAACCTTCACAGCTATCCCTCCACATCCTCAGTCCTCAGTTCCATGCAGACAGTGTGTTGAGACTGCCGGACAGCTAACCGTACAAAGAATGGCATTCAGGTGCCCCAGGCACTAACATGTCACATAACATAGAGAACAGATCACCACTTTGATATTACACTCTGGCACACACAAACACACACACACATAGACACACAGACTGAGACAGCAACATGTGAGTCATAAAACAAAAAAAAAAAACAACAACCAAATGTTGGAGAAAAAGAGGGAGGAAAAGACTGGATATGTCCATGCAAAACGGGGCTGGCAAAAACAGAGCAGAGGCTGATAGGGAGGGGTGGGGAGAGAGAGAGGCAGCCAATGCGCAGCTCTGCATCTTGAAGAAGAGAAGCGGGAGAGAGAGGAAATGGGAGGGAGGATGGGGTGAAGCTGAGGCAGCCACTCTCAGAAGGAAAGGCTCTGAGTGTGATGCTCCTGGATGTGAGCTGCCTTCCTCTCTGCCCATCCCTTTGACCAAGCCGAGGGTGTGCAAGTCTGGAAGCTGTGCTCTACCAGTTCTGGGGCATCTGCTGCTGCACAGGCTAAAGGAGACGCTGACTGGCTTGATTCCCTGCCCAGTCTTGCTGGAATAGAGTGGGTGTTGACTGGAGCTGAGGTGTAGGCTAGGGCAGGGTAGAGCTGGCTGTTGGGCCCCGCTGGAAGACACAATGAGTGTTCCTATGCTTAAGATCGGGGCAGTGCTCAGCACTATGGCCATGGTGACCAACTGGATGTCTCAGACTCTTCCCTCTCTGGTGGGGCTTAATGGGACCACTATCTCCAGAGGAGGTACCTCAGAGAGGATTGTTAGTGTGAGTATAACTATCTGTAATTTGCTATTTTGGAAATGTGTATGCAAATTTTCTTCTGATTGTTTGCTCATTTTTTAGTGTGAAATAGTGGTAGAAGTGTGAAAGACAAGAAGGAGACAAATAAAAGAGAGTGACACAGCAGAAGACAGCGAAAAGAAAGAGAAGAAACGTGAAAGAATGAATCAGATAGTTTCAGAAGGGGATGCACAGATGGGAGTGGGACTCGGAGTCTGCCTCAGAGGCTATACTGTGTCAGAAGAGAGACATGATGGAGCGAGATATGCATGTGAGGGGAATGTTTCAACCAGGTAGGAATGATGCACAGGTTAACGGTGCTAAACAGATGCTGTATGGCTATGAATGATGAGGAATACAGTTTGGATGTCAGGTTAAATACGATTTTTTTTTTGTCTTTGATATAGTGATGCTGCTGGGAGGGAAAGAAATGTTCCTCTTTATTTTCTGGCTGATCTTATCTGTCAGTCACCTCCAGAGTTGGAGGGAGGGTGCCCATTTTGAAACGTGATGAAGGAGACTTGCCACAGTATGATAGCGTTCACTGTGCTCTTGTCCTCTCCTACATTGTCTTAAAATTCTGAATCCTTGAAATTGACGGTCTCTTTATTAATAAGAGGTGACTTCTTGCTGGCAAGTCGTGCATGCTTCAGGGGTGTTTTAGGATATTAAAAGTAAGGTTCTTTTTTTTAGATTTCATATTCATATATTGTTTGTAAAGTTCTCTCTGTCTCCTTTTGCCAATGAGAGGTAAGACAGACAGAAAAGGATAACAACCAGGGGTGCCAATAGGATATTTTCAGACTGTGAAGATATTGTGTGGGTTGTGTGGGAATTTCCTTAATCCAGTGTGTGTCTAGGTTTAATATTACCCATTAATGAAATACTCTGGTCTATTGGAGTGACAGAAATTGGATCCCATGTGGTGTACAACTATCTGAAATCATGCACTTTGTGAAAAAATTTACAAATGTTCAGACAAGTGTACTTATTGGGTTATGCGCCGTCTGTTTAGTAATTCATCACATATCCCATCTTTTTTTTAAATTTCTTTAATGTTGCCTTATCAGATGGAAATGTTTGACTCAAAGATAAGAGACAATCTATTGATGTTTTTCGGAAAATGTCAAAAACTGAGACGGTTAGATTTCTGTCCAACATCAGAGTAAAATTGTAAACATTATTATTTATAACAAGCTGCAAAAGTTTTCAAAATAATAGTCTCTTCACAGGGTAGGAAGAGACACGACTAAAGTTTGATCCAAGCAAAATAATTGGATTTACAGGACATGCCTCTCTTTGACAGACACAGATATATGTTTACAACTGAATCACAAGGTTTTCTGATATGGTTCAGATTTATCTCTGAGTCGCACTGGTTGACATCTTTACTGAATAACACTGTCCAAACTTCTAAACTTACTCATAATGTAGAGGACTTGGAGGCATCCTGCTGAAAATAACTTGTACCACCAAGTATATACTGGCCTGTCACACATGCATGAATCTGACAGAGAGCCCTGCACCTGTTGTAGTTGTTATCTGTTCTCCAGAAGGCTTGACTATAGTACCTCCATGTGTCATGATACATGTTATATAATATGGCATATTTTCCTTATATTATACAAAAGCAGTGGAGGGAAAAAAACTCCAGAAGTTCGGATCATCAAAGTTTGATTAAAACTGATGAGACGGTTATATTTTACTCAGAGTTATTTCCTTACAACCAACAATGATGATAGAAACCTGTGTTTTCACACCTACCCCCGAACAATGGCATCAAATGCAACTTTAATGTGGATTCTTGCCTCAGAGTCCCATCACTATTAATGAGAAACTTGCCTGTGATCTAAGAAGCAGTCGTGACTCACAAACAGTTTAGACTCTAATCAAAGACAATCTTGCTGTGGTCTTGTGACACTCTTCAGCTAACATGCCACTGGCTGTTGCATGGCTGCTCCCCCCACCCTGGCATCCATGCATGCGGCCTGAACGCTCAGAGCTATTTTCAAAGTCTGTTTCACTTGCTCACGATGCTCATATTATAACCAGCTGATCCAAGAACACAGATGACTGAGTTTCTATATGCCTTTTTTGCCGTGGCACTAGGCACAGCACTGCCTGGATACTTGTACACATCTGGAAAATACAGAGCTGTATTTTCTTAATGAGCAGAAAGAACATCACTATGGAGCCAGAATGATGTTTAAGTTTTGACAAGCAAATAGAAGGTATGAAGACCGGCCAGGCTGCACAGTATTTACTTTTATTTGTGTTCAGAAAATAATGAATGCTATATCACCCGTAGGCACTGTTGGAGTAGCTTAAAGAGTGTTTCCAAAATATTTGGGGAATGTGATAAAGAACATGTCCTGCGTTAATGTAGCTGTTTATGAAGTTGTAGTAATCAAGTTTTACATATTTGAATTCCGCAGCCAAAAGACTTTAGATGATTTATTAAAAGTTTTGAATTAATAACTGCTTGGATATATCAGTTATGTGAACATAAGTTCGGAGAAGTATTCATAAATATGAAGTTTAAGCTCAAGAAGTCGTTTGCTTGAAGGCAAACAATTCAAATTTGTTTATGGCAATAATTGTATCCTTGTTCTTGGGGTGATAATAATAATAATAATAATAATAATAATAATAATAATAATAATAAT